ACCACCACAAGTTGAACCCTGCAATTTACAATTCAACGACGGGCGTGGCCACCTGCGGCTAGGCTTGTGCTTAATCGAACAAATTGGCTATCAATTACTAATCTGTTTTCAACCAAACTAATCGATTAATCGATTATTTAAAGCGAGAAACAAAACTGCAGCTAATCCATGTTTCCATTGGCTCGCTCTAAAAATGGGACCAATGTTGACACTTGAAACTAAGACTGTGCAGTTTTTGGACCAGTGCACAGCCCTTAGCAAGAATTTTACAAAATCAAGGAGTGAATTATCATTTTTTATTCCGATGATTCCCAAATGTATGTTAATGGCACCGTTCAAGGTCCGCTAAATATGATTTCTATCACTAAACAAAGTTTTTATAAAATTATAAAGTGGATGACAGTAAACAAATTGAAGCTAAACGAAGAAAAGACAGATATCATTCTTCTAAATAATCCACGATTTAAATAAAGATCTGGAAAGTGTCAATATTGATTTATATGGGGGTATGACATCTAGTAAAGACGTTGTCAAGAATCTCGGTGTATATATTGACCATCACTTATCTATGGGTTCGTTTGTAGGATCTCTGTCCAAATCCTTTTATTTTCAGCTGAGAGGGATAGGCCTAGTCCGAAAGTACTTAAACGAAGAGACCACAAAAACATTGGTAACGTCTTTTATCCTCTCTAGATTAGACTATTGTAACTCTCTCTTAGCAGGTCTGAACAACAAATACTTGAATCGTTTACAAGTCATTCTAAACAACACCGCTAGACTGATAACAAGATCTAAAAAAACGAGACCATGTCACTCCACTATTAAAAGAACTGCATTGGTTCCCTGTAAAAGAAAGATTAATATTTAAAATCTGTGTCATGAGTTCCAAATGCGTAAATAAAGCTGCTCCTTTTAATCTACAAGAACCAGGGGCGGCTCGTGGGGCTAAAAAGTGGGCGTGCTATCTTAGGCTGAAGATAGTCAAAGGCATAGTAAATGGGATGGTGTTTAATTTTAGGATCTTTGGGTTGGTGAGGGAGGACTTAGTGCTTTTATTTTCATTCTTTTTACTTGTCGCTTTGATTTCTAGAACTAAATCTGTTTGTTAGTTAAACATCAATTTCGTTCATCCTGCGTCGGAACTGAACACTCAAGTAATAATTTTCACCACTCTACTTCCAAACCATTCAAAGGCACAACTCATAGGGCGGTAACTTAAGTATGTCATGTTCACCCCCCTCAGGTTCACGGTCACAGAGTCGCTTAAAATAGTGGCAAGACAATGAACTAATCACAGTTCACTTGAGCACTCCGCCGGATTGCTCATTTTGGCATTGAATAGGCCTAGTGTACAGGCTATCGCGTTTATTTTTAGACTCCCTGCTGTGGGCTGTTTCGTGGATGCACCTTTGAGATGTGCCGTCTTATTAATATTAATGTACGGTACCGCCAAACTCGCTACAAGTGTCGTCATCGCTGGAGTTATCCCAAAGAGCGATTTATAGGTCAGACAGCCACTGTTGAATATTCTATTACGTTTACTTTAAGCGCGTGGACTTTGGCATGGCATAGTAAATGTTTTAGGCGCTTTTTGACACAGAAATGACAATTACAGCTCCAGTGAGGACCTTGTTTTGATATTATATTTGGCTAATGTTTGTTTCTGACTTCTTTTATTTCATGTTTGTGGGTGCTTTTAGTAATAGAACTTTTTAAAAAAATTGGGCGGCACTGCACGACCGAGCTCTATGGATGAACCGCGCCTGACAAGAACTTATCAGTATATATAAGCCAGGAAGAAACCTAAGATCATAAAACAACAACAACAAAAAAGACGATAACACCCTACGTGTGACACCAGTAAAATCATACAAATCATATGGAGAGAGGTCTTTCTCATATCTTAGTCCATTTATGTGGAACAGATAAGAACACTTGATAGCTTCAAAAGACATCTTATGCCTTTTCTGCTCCTACATCCTTCATAAGCTTTTAGGGTTATTTTATAAATTATAGTTGTTCTGTGCCTACGTCTGAATGAAAATAGTCCGTGTGTGTGTGTGTGTGTGTGTGTGTGTGTGTGTGTGTGTATGTGTGTGTATAAATATATATTGCATGAGAAGAAAGGAATTAGTAAGAAAGGTTTTGAAAATGGGTATTCCAAAGTAAAGCGCATTGAGCTACATTTTTTTAGAAATGCACAATATTTTATAAATGTTGTATATTGTTATATATTATTATATAATAATCAAACTAATTGATTAGTATGATCGATTAAGAACAAGCCTACCTGGGGCACTGATGACTGACTGATACCATCGACGCAAATAAAAGATGAGTTTTTGGATAAGTTGCTCTGGGAAATGGGTGCCAGATTTTTCTAGCTATTATTGCTCAAGCTCATCTAACATTAAAGACTGGTCAGTTCTTCCAGAGATTGGTCTTCATCCAGTGACATTACGTGCCGCAGCGATGCAGGGCGCTATCTGTTCAGGAGATG